GGCAATTTCAAAAAAAAAATTTTTTGTGGATGAACGTAGGTTGCCTTTATACATTTTCCTTCATATTTTCAGCATTTACAATCGGATCATTAAGTATGATATCGTCACCCTTATGCCAGAAACATGAATGTGCAAATTTATCAGTTTTGCGTTATTGGGTTGACTTCATTAATAACCTTTGCAAGTTCTTTGTTATACCAAAACAAAGAATACCATGCGTGCACGGAAATCACATATGTATGTATTTTACAATTTGAATTGGTTAAATGCAGAGTTAAGTCTCGTAAAAAAAAAAATCTAACTTGATTCCCCAAAATTCTCATTTTTACACATTCATGTTTCTGCCATACGGCATTGACCTCAAATACACCGTTTTTGTACTTACTCACCAGATATCAGTTCCTAAAGTACCACCCTAATGCCAGCTTTAATTTAATTTAGTTTAAGCTTTTCAAAAATCATTAAACTTTAGCTAAGGATTATTCCAGTTAGACTAAAAAAAAATGTATTACCGAATGTAGGTGTAACATTTTTTTTATTTTTTATCGACAGCTGTTTTCCTGCTTGGAGGCTTTGGGTTTCAATAATTCAAATCAAACGAGTTTCTGCGATAGCATATTGCATAGAGAAACAGTCGGTAGGCAATCACTTGAGAAAAGTTCTGACGAAGAACCCGGCTTCTGCGATGTACATTCCAGAAGCCCAATAGCAACTGAACGTCATCTCTCGAGAAAATGCTAGATCCACAACTAAGTGCACACTTCCCGAGTTGTAATGTGGTACCTGGATTTTCCGTGATTACCTCTGCCAACCCTACAAAACTGTAGGTATTTAGGTAGGTTCTATCAGCATTTGGCACTCTATGCCCGTTGTTACTTCTGATCTATAAAACGTGTCTGAAGTTAAATTTCATACCCAAGAAAGTCTCAATGAATTCGCACTAGAAGTGTTACTGCACATGGAAAGCGCCTTCAATAACATTCTCCCAATTCGCGTGGGGCTGGAACTCCCTCTGATATAATTTGTTGTGGTGCTTCACTTTTAACCGATTCACAGAGATATTTGATACCAATTTTGTGCCCATAATTTAAGAAATGAATACATTCGCATCAATTCTGGTTTACAGGGGTTTTTGAGGTCACTGAATTGGAATCTGAATTCAAAATAAGAAAAAATAAAATGGCCGATCCAATATGGCGCCTGAAATTCCAAGAAATGTCTTTAATATGAAAAATGTTTATTAAATTCACGTAGTATTGAGTAATATTAGGTTATTTTAAGTTTTTTATTTCAAATTCTTAAATAAAAATGCCATTGAACTATAATACATATAATCATGTTTACGTGTCGTCGCCTCAGAAAACGGATGACGAATGTGCAAAATCACGATTTTGTGATTTTGATGCAGATTTACTAAGTTGGACATGCTCTTTCGATTTCTGCAATCCATTTTTTTATATCTCCATTAGTTTTTGAGATATTTCGTGCGCATTTTGTCGTATGTTACATAATATTAATGATTGGGTATGCCTTTTGTTGTATGTGCTGAAAATGCGTCACATACGACAAATTCCCATACAAACGTACCTTTTTTTTAATCATAAAACGTTTGTCGTATGTG